CCAAATTTCCAGTCTGAAGGCTCGGCTGAAGTAACTTGTATAGGAGGCTCCTGGAAAGGGGATCCACGATGCAGAGGTATTTACTAATTTGTTCAGATTCGTTTACCTTCCCAGTGATTTTATGGGTCTACAGAATTACAAGGAAACTTATTAGTGTAGATCCATGTTGCTTTGCAATTCAATCTTTGAGCCTTGCCTAGGACAAGGAGGGGTTGTTATATAACCAGGCACACACAGTGTGGGTCAGAGATGGGAATTTAAACTAAGTCATGTTGATTCCAAGACAGACTCTGTATATACATGCCTTACTAATAAAAATGGTTAAGCTAATTACTTTAACTAAAAGTAATTAAATTAATTAGAAGTAATTACTTTCAAAAATTACATCATAAGATCATGAACTCCATGAGGGAAACAACTATCTTAAATTTTGTAGCTCCTTCAGGATCTAGCACAAGGTCCTGTATGTATGAAGTGTGGTTTTGTTTTTAATGTTTGTTGAATTGAAGTGATTTGAGTTATGGAGTGCAATACTATTTATTTCAATAGAGATACTTAAATAATGTTTCTATTGTAATCTCTCAGAAAGATTTTTGAGGTACAGCCTTCAAGCAGACGGATGGAACAAATGCTTTAATGACACTCCCATTGTTACCAATCAAATATCACAGACCCTATTTTGTTTTCATCTTTTTGGATATTTCTGACGTCTTTGAAGCTATTGATTAAATTCAGTGGCATTTTCTTTAAATTTGACTTCCATGACACTGCACTTCCCTGGCTTTCTTCTTCCTTCTCTCTTTTGCTTCCCTACTTTCTTTTGTTTCTTTTAATCATCAGTGTTTCCTATAGCTCTGAACCAGTTTTTTTTTCCTCAAATTTCTTCCCCTATACTCTTAGGAAGCTCTTCCCTCTCTCTATGATTATAGTGACCCCTTGTGCACATGTGACTTTCTATTTTATATCTTCAACCTTAACTTACCAACCTCTTTCTAGTTGCACATTTCTGCCTATTTGTAATGTGTCCCTTTTTGAATTACTTGCAAAACTTGAAATTTTACCTCAGGGGATCTGTCATTTCACTGATATGGATACTCCTATGAGTGGAACATTTCAGTCCATGCATACATACCCACATTATGTGACTTTTGAGAAGCCTTTTTGTCCATATTTCAAGTTCAGGTAGATATAATCTCATTATTGTAGGTATTCCCTCCAAAAACTAGTCATGTCTGCCCATCTTGTATGACTCTGGTACATTTATTTCCATAGAATTGTGATGGGAGATTCACCTTGTACGAGAGGAGCCTTCCTTATGTTCTGTTAATGTGGTGAAAGTATCATCAGAACACACAGCATTTACATTGCTTACTCCTTGTTCACACAGTATGGACAATTCTAGTTTTCTTTCAGTCAGACATTTCTTTGATGATAATTTTTGCTCCTTTCCTGCTTGATTCCTTGTTTGAAATGTTTTGTGGCCTGTCTTTGACCAGTGCACATTTTTTCATCATCCTTCAGGTGATCTTCAAATTCATTTCTTTAGACATTTGTATTCTGTGACTCACCATATGAATATTGTTTTAAAATTGACCTTTATTTAGGGTAAATCTTAGAATTATTAAAAGAATTTTCTAATGTTCCACAGGAAAAATCAATCCAGCCTGTTGTCTTCCTGTTCAATTTTGTCTCAGGCCATCGTCCATTTGTAATGACTATCCAAGATGTATACACACATGAAATGGAGTCTAGATGGCTTAACAGCAAAAAGAATTATATCCTAATACCCCCACCAAACTTCCTCCATAAAGATCTAGAAAATATCTGAATTCTTATAGCAAAATCTAAGAAAAAGCTAAGGTGAGTCATTTTTTCAGCCCAGAACAGCTTGGAGAGACAGAAAAGTCTGCAGACACTGGGGCCAGGGTATGGCCAGGAATACATTATGTGCAGAACATTACAGCACCAAGGTAGTAAAAGAACTGAGATCAGCAAGTAAAAGAACAGATCAACTAGCACCAGGGTAGGAGGAAATTTCAGATGATCCTTGAACTAGCTCAAGGTATAGGAACAGATGCCAACTGGCATCTCTGTTACTAAACATTTGGACCCCAGAAAAAGGGTAGGGATTTGGGCCTAGGCTCTACCTTGTGTAGAAGCCTGTAGTGGCCATCACCAGTGAAGGAGTGTCAGATCAAAGGGAAACCTGCAGTTAAGTCACTCTGAACCCACTCCCAAAGGGAGTGGCTGAGTTGAGCAACAGTCTATTGAAACTCCCAACTAGAGACAAATTACTAGACCCTGGGCCTAGGGCCTATTCTGGTTCAGCAACTTGCAGTTCTCAGACAAGGGGAGCAGTGAGCAGACTTCTCCTTGGATCATATCATTTTGGAAACACTGAAAGTTCACAAGCCACAACCTTAGCTCTGAGAGCATCAGAAGGTTATAAGAGGACTGAAACTCAGTTCAAACATTCCTCCCAAAGAGGGCACAGAGATCAGCACTCATGTAAACTCCAAAGTTAAAAAGTAGGGCGAAAAAAGGCAAAAAAAAAAAAAAATAAGAATCCTACTATAAAGATCTATTATGGCAACAGGGGCTAAGCTCAAACATAAATGCAGAAGACAATGACTCAAAAACATTCATAATCAAAGTCTCAAACAAAGATGCGATTTGCACCAAAGTCAAATAAGAATTCCTAGAAGACATAAAGGAAGAGGTTTTTGTTTTCCTTTTAAGAGGTAAAAATGATGTTCAAAGCTAAATGAGAGCAGTAAAGTATGAACAAAAGGGAAATATGATGATCTGTGGAAGAAAAATATGAAAAGAAAATTGAGCTTGGAAGAAATATAAAAGTTTATCAAAGAAAATAACTGCATGAAAGTTCAAAATGACCTAAAAGTAGCTTATGACTCCATGATCATCAGGAAGTAATAACAGAAATTATGAAAAGATATAAAAACTACAAGTTATTTCATAACAAACACAATGGACCTGGAAAACAGATTTCAGAGAGATAATTTAAAAATCATTAAACTACTTGAAAGCCAATACCGAGAAACCTAGACATAATATTGGAAAACATCATAAAACAGCCCAGATCTCTCAGAATAAGAGTACAACATAGAAATTAAAAAGAATTTACTTGTCCCATCATGAAAGAAACCTAACATGAAAATTCCTGAGAATATTATTGCAAAAATCTAGAGATGCCTAACAAACAACAACAAACAAACAAACCTATAAACAGCCAGAGAGAAGTGATTCAAGTTATGAGGAGTCAAAGTCAAGATTACATGATTTATCAAGCACCCTTATAAAGGAGCAGAGAACTTTAATATTTTTCAGAAGACAAAAGATCTAGGCTTATAACCAAGAATAACTTATCTAGAAAAACTGAGTATAACCTTACATGGGAAAAATTGACCCGTAGTGAAAGAAAGGACTCCCAAGCAGTCTTGATGAAAAGTCAAGCACTAAATAGAAAATTTGACAAGCAATCATAAGGAGCTAAACAAAATTAAACTGCTTCCATTCTTATATGAGGAGATATTACAGATAGCTCCTCAGAAACCTCATAATCATCAGAGGTCATAGAGGGAGCTTAATTAGTCCAAGGACCTAGGAGTAATTCTGTGATGTTTTGATTATCTTAAAAGAAGAATAGAAGGGGCACAAAAGAGGAATGCAGTGGGAAAGGAAAGAAAAGAAAGGAAAAATGAGAAAAATATCTCACAAAATGGGGTATGAAAGTAGAAGTCTATACCACAGGAAAAAGTAAGTGGTGGGGACAGTGGGTGACACTTGAATGTCACTCTCATCTGAACTGGTTAATGGAAGGAAGTATACACACACAGAGTTGAGTACAGACATACATTTCACCGACAGGAAAATAGGAGGTAAAGGAGTAAAGGAAATGAATTCTTAAAAAAAGAGTTGGGAAACAAAGAGAAGAAAATTTATAAGAGAATAAGATAAAGAGAAGTACACAATTAACAAGCACAACTGTAAATGGAATGAAATGAACTTATGCATAAAACAGAAGAGATTGTAGAATGACTCAGAAATCAAATCCAGCAATAATAAGTTTAAAAGAAATATATTTGAAATAAAAAGATACACCCAGATTTAAAATAAAGGTCTGAAACACAATTTGTTATGCTTTAGCTGAAGTAAAAAACAAGCAGAGGTATCAATCATAATCTCAGAAAAAGTAACAGCATTAATGAAAAGAACTAAGCAGGGAAACTAAATTTTGCTGAATGAATTAATATCAATAATAAAAAAACCATGTATTAAATCCTGAAAGGAAAATTTTAAATAGTTACATGCAGAAATAGACAGTAAAACTATAATAGCAGGAACTTTAATTTATCCCTCTCAGACCTATATAACTATAAAATAAATAAGAAAGAAGATAATGAGAAGAATAAAAATTTTAGAAAAGTTAGATATTATAGACCTCTGGATAAAATTGAATGGGAATAGAAATGAGTATGCCTTTTCCTCAGCTATAAATGGCACCTTCATAAAAACAGATCATATATCAGGGCATAAAAGCTTCATAAACAAATGAAGCAGAAAACATAAACATTAAATGCATCCTTTTCTGACCATGATGCAAGAAAAAGTTACATTGAACAAAGGGCCTTTGAAGCAAACACTAAAAGATTAAGTAGAAACTAAATAGCTTCATCCTAAAAATGGATGAGTTAAAGAACAAACCATAAAAATAATCAATAATTTCATTAAAGACAATGACAACAATGAAACACATACCAAAACTTTAGGAAATCAACCTAAGCAGATCTTAGGGGAAAATTTAAATCTCTAAATACTTTTATCAATAAAAAAGAGGAAGAACAATTCAAACAGTGTAGCATCCAACAACAACAAAAACTACCTAGAAAACAAACAAGTAAAAAATTCCTAATTAAAACTAAAATAGAAATGCTGACAATCAAAGATGAGATTAATAAAATTTAGAGAAAAAATGAATTAACAAAACTGGGAGCTGGTTTTAAAATACATTAAGATAAGCCATTAGCTAACTTGTTTAAAAAAAAAGAAAACTAA